AGCAATGCAAGGGGTATGTAGTGATTCCCTATATTCAGGGCACCAGTGAGAAGATAAAACGTGTTCTGCAACAACATGGTCTAAAAGTTATGCAAAAACCAACGAGAAGGCTTGGAGATGTGATGTACAGTACATGAGAAAGAAACAGGCGTTGTTTACTCGATCGTTGATGAGAAAGAAACAGGCGTTGTTTACTCGATTCCATGCAAAGATTGTGATGTACAGTACATTGCCCAAACCGGGCGTGCTTTTCTGGCAAGGAAGAAGGAGCATATTTCAAGTGTGAGGAATTTCAAAACAGAAAAATCAGCTTTAGCAGAGCACTCATGTAATTTGGATCATAGGATTGCCTGGGATAGAGCATCAATTTTATTGAAAGAGAGTCGGGAACAGCAGAGGAAATGGGAAGAAGCATGGGAGATTGCAAAAACAGATGGTGCAATTGCCAATAGAGACAGAGGATGGATTCTCCCCGATTTGTATATACCGCTTCTGTCAAAGTACAATGAACCAATGACTTCAGTTGTACTATATATTCAATGAACAGTGACTTTAGTTGTATTATATTAACATCATTAATTAAGCACAGTTGATTAGTTCCTAATCTCTTTTATACACAATAGCTTCTTATCATTAGAATTTTAATTAGTACAATTTGACATGACTGTTTGCCATGTAGGCAGTTGGAACTTAGTATAAATATTGCTTGTAGATATATGTTATTCACATTTTACCCTGATGATGGACGTTTAGTCTGAAAGCTCAGGTAATTTTAATCCTTTTTATTCATTTTAATTCAGTTTTATTAAAATGGAATCGGACAGGAAGCCTAAATAATGGTGTTACCTGCATGTTCATCAATCAAACATAATGTCGATATCGCGATTCCGGGCTTCAACCAGACATCGGTGTATTCTGACTGACGTTTCTTAATTTAAAGGTCAAAATAATAACACCACCTGCACCACCACCTCGGGGTTTAAGAGAGTGGGATCGGGAGTTCGCCAACCTCCTATATCCCGAAGGGGAAGATGGCTGTGGAAACTCATTAGAATCCTTCCCTTTGTAGTGTGGCCGGCTCTACTAGAGCAGAGAGGAAGATCCTGCCCGGCTCGAGATAGAGCCGGTCACTCTCTAGGCCCGCTTCCCTTGTTTGCATTTTCACTTGCAGGAAATTATGATTATACAAAGAATACATTCCCCATTGTGTTTTCTGCAATGCATATCATAATAATACGAAGCTCTCTTCCGCGGAGCTTTTGGTATTTCATGCCAACGGTCTATTTACTTTGTGATCCTATATATTGTGAAGTTCTTGGGACTTGTGGCGGAATATTATCGAAATAATCGTCGTTTTACTGTGGGATTTACTATATTTTTACTGTTGAAGTTTTGAATTTAAATCCCGTTGTGTTATCTACCGAAACTTGGATTACAGAAATTGCTCTTGCTTGATGGAAAATTTAAGCTACAATTGACAGTGCGTGTTGCAGATTGTATACTATATTCTTCAATTTATTGAGGTTTTTTCTAAAGTCCTAATTATTTACATATTTGACGTTAACCTTGAATTCATATTCACAATATAGAAAGTCATTTAATTAAGTCATTTATCTTTGGAATTACCTGTTTGAACTTTGACATTTCACTCAATCGTAATTTGAGATTAATATCATTATTGCTTGATTATCGCTTTCCAACATGTACAGTATGTGCGGGGTTTACCCTTGAATATTACTTACATCGTCCTATAACATCCAAAATATGATTTTTCTCAAAACATTCTATGCAGTCCTTTTTGCTTGGTTGATTTTTCGCATGGTTTGTCTCGCAAATGAAGATCATAAGACATTATTTTACTCATCTACAAACCTTCTAACATCTCCTTGCCTTTCTCAAGCCCGTCGTATGAGAAAAGATTCGATTTCACTGTTCGAAATGCATCTGCCTTACTACAAAGATCGTCTTTAATTACCACTAATGTTGGTCCTCTTGGCAAACAACGTGCATCTAAATCCAGGTCCATCCCATCCCATTCCTGCTAAGCCGTGCAAAACTAATCCTAACGACCTTAAAGTCCTTTACTCAAATGCCCGAAGTTTGAAGTCTTTCGTCTCTGCTGACAATGACACTTCAAATACAGTTTGCAAAATAACCCTACTGCAGGAGTTGGTTCACGGTGGTAAATATGAAATTGTCTGTATTTGTGAAACTTCGTTAAACAATACAATCCTTGATGCAGAACTACTCCCAGGTTTCAATCTTTCATCGGGACAGGACGGGGAGAATTGGCGGTGGAGTTCTATAATCGCGATCAAAGAAAACCTACATGCTACTCGGCGTTGTGACCTCAAAAGAGATGGCATTAAACTTGCTGTTGTTCAACTCAGTAAAGCGAACAATGAACCAGTAATCCTTTATGTGTATTGCCGTCCTCCCAACTCCTCTTCTGATGCCGGGCTCAGTCTTCTAAACAACTCCATAGCAACTAACTAGTCCTGCTCGGGTATTGAAGGAATGCAGTTATGCCATTGCCCCCAAATCTTTGCTCACTCTCTAATCACTTATTGCATACTGGTACTGTTCCATCTGAATGGAAATCAGCTGATGTTTCACCAATTCATAAGAAAGATAAGGAAGAACTAACTATCAACTACCGTCCAATTTCACTGCTATCTATCATCAGCAAAGTCTTGGAACGATGCGTTTGTAATCGTTTCTACGAACATATCCGAGATTTGATTAACGAAGCTCAGCATGGATTCCTTCATGGCCGTTCTTGTGCTACCCTTACCAAACTGACAGATATGTGACAGATATATGTCACAATTCTGTAAAATATCTGCAAAATATATGTTCGAAAGTATCTGCCACATATCTGCAACATATAGGAATTTGGCCCCATAACATATCTGT